CTGTGGTTGTGTACTTGTAAAATGTTCACTGATTTGTCTTTGGGAGGGAGATCATAGTGTAAAAAGAGATCGTTTAACCCTAAAATGACTGCTTTTTCATAATTAGATTTAAGCGTCTTTTTTTACACTAAGAATGCATATAGTATGGTGACCAAGGGATGTCAAGATTAGAAAAGCACCATGAAAGTATACTAGCATTTCAAAATTTGGGGTTCGTAAGAATTTTTAACAATTATTTTGTTTATTTATTCAGTAATAAAAGTAATATATGCTACAGTTTTCATGTGCATTGTGACTAACTGCAATATGTAAGTGTGGATGTTTATTAGCATTTACACTACCGCTCAAAAGAGTGGCGTCAGTAGGATTTTTAAATTTTTAAAATAAGCTTCTCCTGCTCACCAAGGCTGCATTTATTTAATCACAAATACAGTACAAATTGTGAAATTGTGAAACGTTATTGCACTATAAAATAACTGCTCAAATGCAGTTTATAATTTAATGTAATTATTTATTCCAGTGATTTTAAATTTTTAGCTTCATTACTCAAGTCTTTAGAGTTGCATGATCCTTCAGAAATAACTCTAATATTTTTAAATATTAGTATTATTATTATTAATTTTATTATTATTATTATTATTATTAGTAGTAGTAGTTGTAGTAGTAGTAGTATTAATGGTAATAGTAATAAAAGCAATAATGACTGGAGTAATAATTTCACTTGAAACTAATTACAATAAGTAATAAATATTTAATTAATAAATATTTAACTTTTTTTAACATATAATAAATGCTGCCTTGACGAAAACAATAAATGTATTAAAATTATTAAATAAAATTAATAATTTTTAAAAAACTGACCCCAAACTTTTGGTCGGTGATGTAAATTAAATGTGAATACTTACTTACATTTTAGATTGATTATTAAGTGTGTAAATATGTGATATTCTTTATATATTTCTTGCACAAAAGTCTAATTCGGGTAAAAATTCTAGTTTCTTTCTTTTTTTGAAGTGATTCGCATTGAGGCAAATGTTTTTGCAGAAGAGAATGTTTGGTATTTTTATCACTTTATATTTAGAAAATACTAAAAACAGCCAGAATAAAAAATATACAATAATAATAATAATAAAAAATAATCAGAGTATAGATATGAATAATATTGGGAGTTTTATGCAACAAAAAAAACGTTGAAAAATGTTTTTTCGTTCCCTCCGGTGCTTCGGTTTTCCCCCACAGTCCAAAGACATGCGCTATAGGTGATTTGAAGAAACCAAATTGGTCTTAGTGTATTTGTGTGATTTAAAACATAATAATAATAGAGGTATGACTCTAATGAGAGTGACTGAGGTGAGATTCATGAATGGAACCCTTCCCTTACTGAAGATATATAAATAAAGAAATAGATTGACTTTAAATACAATACCGATGAGATTAAGTGAATTGTTTAATGTGTAGTTTAGTTTAAAGCAGCAACAACAATTTAGTGTTCCATGTAGCCTAAATGTCTGTTTAAAACCCACCAAAAAGCCTAATTTTAGCCAGCACTATAGTCAATATTATTAATATTATTATTTTACATTTATTTGTAAACCTAGTACGTTTAAAAATCGTGTGCTTGCTTTATCCATCAAAATAATAATCATTTTAGCTTTTAATCAATTTTGGCCTTTGATTTTTATTATTTTCTTTGAAAAGTAAACAGAGAACGCTACACTATAAAACCCAACAGTCAACTTTATCAAATGAAATGAGTGTGGTTAACTCAAAATTTACTGAGAGTTAATTCTACTCATATGAAAAGAGTTTTGAACTCAGTGTTGAAGGTAATGAGCTAATTAAATACTTCTTTACTTCAACTTAAATGGAGTAAGTTCACAGTACTTAGATTAGTTTTTTTTTTTTAAACTCAAATGGTTTGTCCCAATCGGTTTTCTCAGACAGTTTGAGTTGCCTTAACTTATTGGGTTTTACAGTACTCGGTTGATTTGAGTTCTCTTCATTTATTAGGTTTTACTGTGCTCAAATTGCTTTGTCTACCCAAATTGATTAAGTTCACAGTACTCATTAGGATTAGTTTTTGAGTCAAACGGTTTGTTGCAGTTGTTTGAGTTACCTTAAATTTTTGGGTTTTATAGTGAAAGTCTATGAGGGGGTGCATTTCTCGGTACAACACCGGCTTGATTGCAATGGAAATCTACAGACACATATTTTTATAAAACGCAACAAAAGGTGCATTTAGCCATGTATTTTAGATTTTTTTTCACATAAAGCTGTAAAAAATGATCAAAAGCCAAAAGTAAATAAAAATGAACAGTAAACAACTTAAAATGGACAAGTGCATGAAAAAACAATGTCAGTGCTTAAGACTTACTTCCATGGTGCTTTTTATATTTTCACTTTTGGGTGAACTGTTTTTTTTTATATGGGTAATATATTTGTAAAACAAATAAACTCTTAATTGTATATGTAGAGAAAAAAGGCTCATGTTTAATGCTCTGTTTGTCTTCCGGCAGTTACGAGAAACGGTTATATTGAGCCTGGCAGCAGAGGGCACCCAAGAGCTGGACCTAATGTCCCGTCACCGGCCGTCACTAAACACAGCAGCTAAAAAAAAAGCCATTTCTACACAACCCTCAATCCTTTGTCCTTCTTCCTGATGGCTCTCAAATCCTTGGTAAACTTAAAAAACACTTTATTGCAAGCCATTATTGGGACTAAATAACCTATGGAGCTTTTGTTTCATAGCTGCATTTTTGTTTTGTTCGGGCTTCCCTAAAAAAATGTAGACTATGAATGTACTCTGAAATATGAAGATCCTATACGTGTGTGTATGTGAAACAGAGTGTATCTTATATATTTGTGGTATACAGGGTATGTTTAGTCTGTCTTGTTCCAAAGATCCTAATTAAAAACGTCTGTTGGTTTAATAGCAATAATATATGTTGAGGTGAATCATGTGCACCACATGTGTAAGTGTTATGAGTTCAGTTCTATTGAAATCTATTATGAAATGAATTAGTTTTCTTGAATACGTTTGCAGGCTGCTTGCTGTTTAATCAGATCGCACTAGAACCATGACCGGATAATGAGTATCAGCCTTAAAATCAGGGAGTTTGTACTGTTACTCGCCTTATGCTAGTCAATAATGTATTTATTAGACAGTAGAGGCACTCATTTCTCAACGTTTATTTATTCGTTTCACACACTTGCATCATCTTAGAAGGATTTACATATATCAAACATTTTACAGTATAAAAAAATTGCGAGACTTTACAAGGTCAGAAGTGAAGGAGAGTCGTACGCATTTGCTGTGAAAGTGACACTGAGCTCTATTTTGTAGTTTGCACAGATTGTTGGATTGTTATTCTGAATATAATGCAGTTTATAGAATAAAGAATGAGTTTTTGTAGACTGGGTTCTTTAATGTGTACTTGAAGTATTAGTTTTGTCTGCTTTATTGTTTTAACATTTCTTTTTATTGATTTACAACTGTGTATGTGTAATGTTCTACACCCCATTTAGAAACAAAAGCAGTCAATGGGACAGTTACTAAAAAAGAGCACATTTCAAAGATTTGGCAACAAATAAAAACGTTTTCCTAGCCAATATTGAGATGATCTTACATTATATAGGCTTTGTCTGTCAGGAGGCAAAAACTGTATTTCATGTTATTCGTCTATACAGCCTGCAGAGGGCAGTATATGTGCACCACAATCGTTATGAGGGCTTATGGGCACATATATTTAGCAATGCTATGCTGCTAAGCTATGATGAGTATATACACTCACCGGCCTATTTATTAGGTACACCTTTCTAGTTTGGGCCCCCTTTAGTCTCCAGAACTGCCTTAATCCTTCATGTCATAGATTAAACAAGGTACTAAAAATATTCCTTATAGATTTTTATCCATATTGACATGATAGCATCATGCAGTTGCTGCAGATTTGTTGGCTGCACATCCATGATGCGAATCTCCCGTTCCACCACATGCCAAGGGTGCTCTATTGGGTTGAGATATGGTGACTGGTGAACTTATTGTCATGTTCAAGAAACCAGCCTGAGAGGATTTGAGCTTTATGACATGGTGCGTTATCCTGCTGGAAGTAGTCATCAGAAGATGGGTACACTGTGGTCATAAAGGGTTGGACATGCTCAGCAACAATACTCAGGTAGGCTGTGGACTTGACACGATGTTCAGTTGGTACTAATGGACCCAAAGTATGCCAAGAAAATATCCCCCACACCATACTCCACCACCACCAGCTTGAACCGTTGATATAGGAAGGATGGATCCAAATCCAAATTCTGTCCCTACCATCCTACCTGACATTGTTGTGCATGAAAATCCCCGTAGATCAGAAGTTTCTGAAATACTCAGACCAGCCTGTCTGGCACCAACAACCATGCCACGTTCAAAGTCACTTTTCTTCCCTTCCCCATTCTAATGCTAGGTTTGAACTGCAGCAGATCATTTTGACCATGCCTACATGCCTAAATGCATTGAGTTGCTGCTATTTGATTGGCTGATTAGAAATTTGAGTTAGCAAGCAGTTGGACGTGTACCTAATAAAGTGGCCAGTAAGTGTATATTTTGCAGTGTTACAAAGACTGAGGCTATGCTTGAAATGAACTACTAGCATATTTCTTAGTGCACACTGTACTGTACATGTGCAACAGTATGCATTAGACATCAATAAAAGATTTGTTTACAGTTGTAGGCTAAGCTACATTATTGTCACGTGACTTCATATTTAATTCAGTGCCTGCGTTCAGTGTTCTATTGCAGATGCAGTAAATCGTTTAGAACATTCACATAGTGTTTCACGGTGGAGAAGTTGGTAGCAAAATTGCCTCACAGCAAGAAGGTCGCTGATTCGAGCTTCAGCTTGGTCAGGTGGCTTTTCTGTGTGGAGTTTGCATGTTCACCGTGTTCACTAGGGTTTCCTCCGGGTGCTCTGGTTTCCCCCACAAGTCCAAAGACATGCGCTATAGGTGAATTGGGTAAGCTAATTTGTCCATAGTGTATGTGTGTGAATGAGTGTGTATGGATGTTTCCCAGTGATAGGTGGCAGCTGCAAGGGCGTAAAAAGTTCTGGATTATTGGCGGTTCATTCCACTGTGGTGACCCCGGAATAATAAAGGGACTAAGCCGAAAAGAAAATCAATAAATGAATGAAATTTCACATACTACAGAAACAGTACAAGCAATATGCTTGCATGTTATTGCAAACATAGCCACAGTTTGCCATGAGAGTGCAAATTGGCAACAATTTGAGTCTAGTATAGTTTAACAGATGTGATGTAAATTAAGTAACTCTTAAAAATGGAACACCTGTAGAACTAAAATGGCAAGTGATCCATCAAAATGGCTAATTAGCATTTAGCATTTTAAAAGAACTGCATAGATTTTTCTGTTTGTCTTTGTCGTCTTCATGCAAACTTTTGCTTTTCTCTCATATTTACACTTCAATAGATTTCTAAAGTTCCATTCCACAACAAGAAAAAACTACAATTAGGCCATAGGCTAAACATCTTTTCATCAAACCAAGCTAAATAAAAAACCCAGAGGTGCTCAATCCTGTTCCTGAACACCTCCACCACCATATCCAGCTTTGCATCCTAAATCACATACTGTACATTATTATTTACAGCATATAATTATTTGTCTTGAAACTTACTCTATGACTGTTCAAAATGAATGTTCGATATTGTATGAATGTGTGCAGTATATTTGACATTTAAAGGTACTGTATCCATCATATTGTCACTGTTATTCGACCTACAAGCATCAATTGTATTGTTTCACTGCCATGCCCGAATCCTTTCCTGTGGCCTCATGGGATTTAAGTGTCCATTGGATACACACTCCAATCTCAGGAGAAGTAATAGGTCATTTACAGTTTTATGAATGCTGTGTGCTATATAGTATGAAAGTAAGTAGGCATATTCAAACACAGGAAAGGTTCTCAAAAGAAAACTTAAAAGCAGTGATGGAGTTAAACTGTACAGCAAAGTGGCCCTCCAACAGCCAATTTGGACCAATTCGTCCAATTGTTAAACTTTCCAGACAATCTTAAGGCTAATTCTGCATGTAAGCACAGTGCATCCACACTCCAGCACAATATGTAGTTGATTCAATACAGATTTCTTCACCTATAGATCAATCGTGTCGCTGCTAATACTAAGTGCATCTATTTGCCTGCAGACGTTAATGAATTCAGCTTGAACTGCGAGCTCATCAACATGAGAAGTGGCATCCACATCCACATCCACGCTCCCTCTGGAGGATGTAGACCCTAAGGTGGTGTACCTTCTGTGGAGCTGCTGCCCAGAATGAGAGCCCCTATGTAGGCTGCTCTGAGAGTGTTCTGTTGAGTTTATCCCACCGCAGTGGACCGAGACCTGAGCTGGTCTCCCAGATATAGTGCTCCACTGTCTGGACCGACTAGGTACAGTAGCAGGGTCCACATCCCCACAGGAGGAAGTGCGGTATAGGCTGACTTCAGTGGAGTTGCCCCGACAGGGTTGTCCGTCTGGGGGTCCACGGGTGCTAAGAGAGAGTCTGGAGGAGCCGAAGAGGCTATGCTGGAACAGAGCCTCGCTGTTCAAGGCCTCATCAATACTTCGGCGTAGGTCGATAGGTGAAGGGGGACGCAGATCTGCTGTAGAATCAGCGTCCAAACTTGCAAAGGAAGACGCTTGAGATGCTTTGTTAGTTTTAGTGGGTTGGGCAAGCTGTGTTGAAGGCTTGTGCTGAGGACTGCTGGGATAGTGAAGGTCCAGTCCGTCGGATTCACTGTGCGGAAGCTCCACCAAGGTGTAGAGTGGCACACTTTCACTTTCCCGCCGTACTATTCCTTCACACAACCCCAGCTTTTCTGCAGGACGTAGTGACCAGCCACACCGACTCGAGAGGATTGTGGGTTTTCCAGATGTGGTGCCTTCTGTAGTTTGATTTTTGAAGAGCCAGCTGCAGCCCCCGGGTTTGGAAGGAGGCACTCCGCAACAGAGAAGAGGGTGAGTGATTATAAGGGCGAGAGTAAGACACACTCCTGTTTCACACACTCTGCAGCTGAGCTGGAAACCCCACCAGGGCCAGGGCATCAGACCAACCATGACTCCACCGGTTAATCCTCCTGCAAGTAGCATTGCATAGAGTCGAAGACTTCCGCATGCCAGGAGGAAGAGGGCAGAAAACACCCCAGCCTTGGCCGCCCTCTCCCACATCCGCGCCTCAGTAAATGGACACCTGCTGGCATGACATGATGGCCGTTCAGGAGAGCTTTCATTGAGGCGGTAAATGTGTTTGACGTCAGCACGGGCACAGCAATAGAGAAGCAGATACGTGAATGAAAGGATCGAGGACATCAGCACGAAGGCTGCTGCGGGTAATAGAGGCACAACTTGCAGGGTAGGAAAAAGTTGCAGTATTGCCATGGACGCCATCACAATGGCCACATGCAGAAGCACTAGGGCTGCCAAAAGGCAGGTGCTGCGCTGCAGGGTGTTCTGGGAAAGTAGCTGGGTACACGAGCGGGCAGTTAGCAGTAACAGCAGCAAGCCAAATGATGCGGTAAGACATGGATAAGCAGCTTCATGCAGCAGTCGAGCCCAGCCTATGGGAAGGCGCTCTTTTTGGCCGTATGGATCGTAGAGCAGCCACAGAGCCCGGCTGGAACTTGTTAGTAGTTGAAGGAGGTGGAGAAGGCTGAAGTGGGCACAGCCAGAGGGCCAGCGCAATGGCAAACACATCAGGCTGAGCGCAGAAAGCGCAGCCACAAGCATAAACACGCAGCCCAGTACGTAAACCTGCAACTCCCATGCCAGGCCCCATGTCGCCATGGCAGCATTCCAGTCAGTCAGTAAAGGGACCAGTAGAGGTGGAGTCAGGTCTTCAAGGGGTGGGTTTATGACACCAGGGGGTGTGGTTAAATAAACCGGAGGTGGAGTAGATAGAGTGTTGTTAATTGAAGCGTCAGATGACTGGCAGATCCCAAAGCCAACCAGGTTGCAGTCCGGAAGTGTGGCAGACCTGCTCCAGTCATCACCAGGAGATGCTAAAAGACAACAATTAGGTTAGTGTCAGACTTTATTTGGTTTGTAAATGATTTTATAAACAGAATATAATAAATATAATTATAAAATTATTTAATTATGCTACACACCTTTTGGAAATCGAACTTTCAGTACTTTAAAAGTATTATAGATGACTGTTTTCAGTGTTGGGCAGTAGCGTTACAAGTAGTGACGCTACTAGCTAAACTACATTTCTCAGTAGCATGGTAGCAATGTCGCTACTTTTTAAATCAATTAGCTTTTCAGTAACGCTGCAGTTTTTTTAGTCAAGTAGCGCAGTAGCGTCCACACAAGCTACATTTACCGATCGCGGATCAATAAGTGACCACACCCACATTCATGGAGCTGTGAGGCCGATGTCTAGTGATGAAAGTAAATCCATATGATGGCAAGAATGATGATTTCTTCCTCTTCCTGTTTTACGGGTGAGCCCCTGATTTGTTGTATATATACTGTAGTAAAGACTAAAGTATACTATGGTAATTAGTATTAGTTCATGATAGTTACTAATAATACCACAGAATGTAGTGTAATTTATTAATGAAGAGTTGTAAAGATATACAAAACAAGCTAATGCGTATTCCTTAATAATTCCCTTTACTATAGATTACTATAGTATTTTAAACGTGTAACTCCTGGTTTTATTGGATTTTTTTTTTTGTTTTAGCTGTTATATGCTTTAATTTGTTTCTGTTTAGTACAGCATATTATTTTCAGTAAATAACTGAACTGAATAATTCTGCCTCATATGTTTTACTGACAGTTTTATTGATCACTAAGACATAACTCACTTGGTTTTATGTTGCTTCGATTTAAAAATGAAAAATGCAAAAATAGCTTGGATGTAGCTAAGCTACTTTTGCCTTGTAGCTTTTAGCTTAGCTTGCTACATTTCTCCGAGGGTAGCTTTTAGTGGTTAAGCTACATTATAAGTACAGCCGCTAATAGCTAAGCTCACAACAGTTTTCAAGTAGCTTGCCCAACACTGTATGTGTTATAATACTTTCAGAAAAACCACAAGCTTCACATGAGTTTAACATGAGCAATCGCATGGTAAATATGTGGAACATGTATGAAATGTCTTAAATATGTGGTTTCGAAACAGTTTCTTATGAGGCACATATGATCACATTGAAAATGTTCCAAAATTACATTTCACAAGCATTGCACATATTTTATGTGTGTCTTTTTTAACATGTCAGGTAAAGCTTACCTGTTTTTTCTGTATATATTCCATTCGAATGGTTAAATGGTTATATGATGCCTCTAAAATGGAGTCAGATAATGTAATCCAGCCTTAATCTTGGTCTGTTTATGCGCCCTGGGTTATATTTTCAAAAAACAAAGCTAATATTGTCCACAAGCAGCTCATTATTTTTACACATTATTTTGCACGTGAAAACACAGACCAAAACCACACACTGATGTTTCACTGAGATCTTAAAGCATACAAATGCACTAAAGCATACAGTAGATTCTGTTACTTCAGTATAAAATGGAGGATCATGAATTTCAGCATTACCATAAGCCCAAATAAAGCAATGACTATGTTAATTAGCTAGAAGAGATGTGGAAGTAGGCTGTTGTAAATGGGTCGCACACTTCATCCCTGACACACATTCACGGATGGCACAGATAAGAGGGCATTGACCCTGTTGCCGTTCTCGCGTGTGTGTGACTATTTAAAAATTAGAAACTGACACACTTTCATAGCATTACGTCACTTAAATACCTGCGCATGGAAGTAAAGTTTCACAATACAGACTCGTTTTATTTTTAAATATTGTGGACACTCACAAAATATTAAATATTGTGGACTTATTATTGCAGGATTGATTGGGATTGTTACTGTATTGATAAAGATGGGGAATTCACTGCGGCATTAGAGTTAGCATTAGTCGTTCAGCATGTGGTAATTAAGGTCACAGGGTCTGGCTTAACTCTCACCTTTAAAGACTGAATTTTCATAAATTTATTTAAATTTATAATTTAAATAAAGACCCTGACTATTTAAAATGCATACAGATACTCATTTTAGATTCTTGTAACCTTTCATTTAGGCACTTTGTGGAGCACAGAAAAGCCATTGCACTCTTTTATCCAGCAGCAAAAGTTAATATATTTAAAATAGAGGTCATTCTGACAGTGAATGCTTCCGTACCTGTTTTAGGAGAGGTTTCAGTGACCTTGATCACAATACTGGTCGACTGGCCTTTCTTCACCTTTTTCACATGTTCAGCACCCTCATGCTCTTCTCGATCACGCTCAGGGCTTGTCATAATGAAGGTTGTTTCTGTCAGACAAAATAGAATTAGAAATCTTAAAGGAACACTCCACTTTTTGGGGGGAATAGGCTCATTTATGACTTCCCTAGAGTTAATCTGTTGAGTTTGATAAATTTTTAATTGATTCAGCCAATCTCTGGGTCTGGAGGGAGTACTTTTAGCTTAGCTTAGCATAGATCATTGAAACAGATTAGACCATTAGCATCTCGCTCAAAACATTTAAAAATAGAGCTTTCATAGTTTTTGTTTCCAAAGCTTGACTCTTCTGTGGTTACATTGCATGTTAAGACCTACTGTACCTTGGGACTATTTTCAGGTGCTGCGTAATATCATCGCGCCTGCTACAGCCGTGGTACAGCACTAAAGTGACTTAATTTTTACGCTAGACATATTTACTTAGAAAATAGCAACTTTTAATTTTGCTAGTACCTAGTTCCTAGTCTTTTCTTAGTACACAATGTTGGGTAAGTTACTTTAAAAAAGTAATTACAATTTACTGATTATACTGGAAAATTGTAATTTGATTACATTACTAATTACTGTACTTCATGTAAAAAGTAATCAGATTGCTAATTCCTTTACTTTGACTTTACCTTTAAAACGTATAAAATATACCTATAAAAATACAAAATAAATCATGATCAGTCAGTTCTTGTCACATGACTCAAGGTTTTCAACTGCGTGCTCCTGGGAAATGCGAACTCATACAATATGCGCTCCCAATATGTCTGCGCGCAAAAGACGTGATATGTGAACGACCTCATAAGCAGCTACGCTTCTCTTCACATTCAGAAGGTACCTTCACCAGAATGGGGAAGTCCCAGAGTAAAGTAAGAAAATATGATACACAAGTGTTTCGGAATATATGGAAAAGCTACTTTACGATGTTTTCATCTGTTTTTGTGTAATTTGTTTTTATTTTATTTATACTTGTCTCTTTTATTCTTGTTTATGTAAAGCACTTTCAATTGCCACTGTGTATGAAATGTGTTATATGAATAAGCTTGCCTTGCCTTAAAAAGGAAAATTATCAAAACTCTTTTATAAATTTTTTGTGTGAGATACTAAAGGTCTAATCTGATTCAATGATCTATGCTAAGCTCATATATATATATATATATATATATATATATATATATATATATATACAGTTGAAGTCAGAATTATTAGCCCGCTTTTGATTTTTTTTTTTTTTTTATATTTCCCAAATGATGTTTAACAAAGCAAGGAAATTTTCACAGTATGTCTGATAGTATTTTTTTCTTCAGGAGAAAGTCTTATTTGTTTTATTTCGGCTACATTAAAAGCAGTTATTAATTTAAAAAAAAACATTTTTGGGACAAAATTATTAGCCCATTTAAGCTTTTTTTTTTATAATCTACAGAACAAACCATCATTATACAGTAATTTACCTAATTACCCTAACCTGCCGAGTTCACCTTATTAACCTAGTTAAGCCTTTAAATGTCACTTTAAGCTGTATAGAAGTGTCTTGAAAAATATCAAGTAAAATATTATTTACTGTCATCATGGCAAAGATAAAATAAATCCGTTATTAGAAATAAGTTATTAAAACTATTATGCTTAGAAATATGCTGAAACAATCCCTCCATTCAACAGAAATTGGTGAAAAAAATAAACAGGGGCGCTGATAATTAATTTAGGGGGGCTAATAATTCTGACTACAACTGTATATATATATATATATATATATATATATATATATATATATATATATATATATATATATATATATATATATATATATATATATATATATATATAATATATATTTCCATACACACAAACACACTCTTTGTCGGCAACGCCCGTGCAGTCACTCATCTATCAATGTAGAAAAGGGATGAACAATTATAACTATCGTAATTAGGAAAAAAAAAAATTGCATACTGAAATATTTGTGTATATCGCTGGCTCTGGATGGTCACAGTCCTCCTCTGCAGCTTGGTCGCGCTTTCATTTCAAAGGAGCGCTACCCTGTACTAAAATGGTGGCTTTATTGACGCTTTCTTTCCAATAGACAACAACAGGGTAGGAGACATCTAATGTCAATATCTATGTGCTAAGCTAAGCTAAAAGTGCTCCCATTATCAAATCAAATCAAATTAATTTTACTGACACATCAGCAGCAGCACGTGTGCTATGATGAGTGAAAAGCTCATGAGTGAAAACCTCACTAGACTCAAAGATTGGCTGGATGGGTTTAAAAATAGTAAAACTCAACTGTTTAACTGGGAGTTGTAAAATGAGCCCATGTTTCTAGAAATACAGTGAAGTTTACATTTAAACACATGAAACTTAAAACAAGGGTAACTTTTTCATTATTGTTTTTCATTCCCTGCAGAACTCCAAACCCCAAAAAAGAAAAGAAGTTGCTATCAGTTTCACAATGAGTCACTAGGGGGCTTGTATCCCACTCACATCTGCAGTGATGAACGGTTTGTGCGTTGCTGGAATACTGATGTTTTCACTGCAGTTTGTGGAACACAGGCAGAGCATGATGAGGATGCACCACTGATGCAGACATTGAGCTGATTTTATTCATGTCAATACAGCAGTATTAAACAAGGAGTGGCAGTGCAACGATGCTGATGTCCCTTAATTACAAAATTATGATGTGTACAGCCGACACTTTATCCAATTTAAAACGTGTCATCATCTTTTCGGGACATTGCTGCTCAGCAGAAATGTTAGTGCTCAACTATAATGTGCCTGAGAGAATGTGAATGCCTGTATTACATTTGATGCAGTAAAAAGACTTGGCAAATAAATGGCAAGAATTTCTATCTAGTGAGACGTCCTTCAAGACTGCAGGCAAAATTGACTGTAGGCAAAAAAACATCGATACACTCAAACGAATCTTAAGGGAATCATAATGTGACACATAAAGAAATGGCTTGTTTATGAATCAAAAGCATATTGTGTGATCCCAGCTAACAATTTTAGGTTCTGAAAATGTTCCATTAACATTCCCATTAAGAAGAGAAGCCATTATTTTTTTAGGTTTTTAAAATGTTCATAGGTGGCATGGTGGCTCAGTGATTACTGTCACCTTACAGCAAGAAGGTCGCTGGTTCGATTACCAGCTGGACTAGTTGGCATTTCTGTGTGGAGTTTGCATGGAGTGGGCTCCATTGGGTGCTCAGGTTTTTCCCACAATCCAAAGACATTCGGTATAGGTCAGAGATGCCCAAACTTGGGCCCGTGGGCCAAAGTTGGCCTATGGTAACCTTTGATGGCCCACCATGCCATTTGAGAAGAGAGGGAGAATGATGGGGGATGGTTTCGAGATTGTCAATTAAATTTTAAAGTAACTGTTTGCTTGTTTTATTGTTAAATGGTATTATTAAATGGTGTTAATTAATCAGATTCTGTTTACATGTTCATACGGAGACTTTGGTGAGGAAATCAAGTCAAAGGCTTGACCAGTGTATTCAGCATTGAACTTCGCTGTGTGATAAAGATGATTGTTTGTTTTTAGTGCAATAAGTTTTCATTTAAAAAGTTGTTTTTTATTTATTTTAAATCATATGAAATAAATTAGGAACATATCCATGGCAACTTTAATGTAATATAGTTTGGTATGTTTACCTTCGGCCCATGGCTCTCTGTGATATTTGGATTTTGGCTTTTCATACGAAAAAGTTTGGGCACCCCTGGTATAGGTGAACTGAATAAGCTAAACTGGCCAAAATGTATGAGTATGAATTAGTGAGTATGGGTGTTTCCCACTACTGAGTTGTGGCTGGAAGGACATCTACTGCATAAAAATATATGCTGTAATAGTTGGAGGTTCATTCCGCTGTGGCAGCCTCTGAAATAGAGACTAAGCTGAAGGAAAATGAATGAATGAAATGTTCATAATGTACAGTTAAAATTATTAGCCGCCTGAACTATTAGCCGTCCTGTTTATTTTTTTCCCCCAATTCCTGTTTAACAGGGAGCAGATTTTCTTAACACATTTCTGAACATAATAGTTTTAATAACTCATCTCTAATAACTGATTTATTTTATCTTTGCCATGATGACAGTAAATAATATTTTACTAGATATTTTAAGACACTTCTATACAGCTTATAGTGACATTTAAAGGCTTAAATTAATACTTATTAACTATTTAGCAACATGGTTTAAATGTCTTCCGTACATCCTTACAATAACATTTCTTTAAAAGTTCTGCATGTTTTCATGTTTTTATGCATACAGTTATGTTGTGCGTAAATGTTGTTTATTATAGCTTTTAAAACTTTGAGACAGTCTGAACGTCTTTAATATTGTTTATGCTACATTGCATTACTGAAAAATATTCAGTGAAAAATATTCTGTTTCAGAAGACTTTTAGATTAGTATCTCATTGTGAGTGTGGATTAAATAAATGATACCAAAAAATACAGTTTTTTTTTTAATATAGCATTTTAAAAAAATCTAGAAGCTAGTAGCTACCCTCAAAATAAATATTAACCTTGATTTAGACCTCAGAATTCAGAAAATATTTTATTGAACATTAGAAAACTAAATTATATTTTAAAGAATTAAATTTATGTTGTGCATACATTTTGTTTATTACATCTTTTAAAACGTGTCTTTTTAAAAAGAAAGGTTGTGCTAATGAGGTGTATGTATTTAACTAGAGTTTGCTTGTTTGGACACATTATTAAAAATATGTGGCTAAGAAATAACTGAATTTTAATTTTAATTGCGCAATTAAAAAAAACCCACTTTAAATTATTAGCGTTTTGCACTGTGATAGTCGGAAATTTAATTGATAATATTCTTAAAACAGTCTTAAAAAGTTTTTATTTGACATGATGAAATCGGAATTTATCCAGACATTTAAAAAGAATATATTTTAGAGCGGTAATAATCACAATACCGTCAAACCATGATATTTTTATCCAAGGTTATCATTCTGTCAGAAGCTTATACCGGCCCATAGTGTAAAACCTAAATCAATGACTCATATGAGCTGACTGGTTTAATGGTTGAGTAAAAGGAGATACCAGTTCAGCATTCACTGTCAGAAGCTTATATGATTCATAAGTCAGGATTACTTTTAGAAATCACAATGATACATCAGCATAAACCACCATGCAAGAATACTGGATGTTCCCAGACTCAACATTTATTTATTCATTTTCCTTCAGCTTAGTCCCTTTATTCACCAGGGGTCGCCACAGTGGAATGAACCACCAATTTATCCAGCATATGTTTTACACAGTGGATGCTCTTCCAGCTGCAACCCAGTACTGGGAAACACACTCATTAACTCTCATACACCATGGCCAATTTAGTTCATCCAATTCTGAAACTGCTGAATTAGTTCATCCAATAGCTGAAACTGCAGCTCTGCACAAGACTTTTGGCCAGCGGAGAAATTAAAATGGTCGTGCCGAACTGAGTCTGGTTTCTCTCAAGGTTTTTGTTCTTCACTCCCCTATCGGTAAAGTTTTTTTTCCCTCTCCGCTGTCGCCACTGGCTTGTATGGTTCAGGATCGGTAGAGCTACGCATCGATGAATTTTCTCTTCAGGGTTTGGACTCTCAGTAATGATTTTAAACCACACTGAACTGAGCTAAACTGAACTGAACTTAAACACTAAAAACTGAACCACCCTGATCCAGTTACTATGACCATTTATGTGAAGCTGCTTTGACACAATCAACATTGTCAAAGCGCTATACAAATAAAGCTGAATTGAATTGAATTGAATTCACCTATAGACATGTCTTTGGACTGTGGGGGAAACTGGAGCACCCGGAGGAAACCCACATGAACACAGGGAGAACATTCAAACTCAAGAATTGCCAACTAACTCAGCCAGGAATCAGCGACCTTCTTTGCTGTGAGGCGACAGTGCTAACCACTGAGCCACCATGTCACCCTCAGCTTAAAATTCAGTATAGACTTAATGCTGCATTATTGCCACACTAAATTATCCATGCTCAGAGCCATCACATCAACTTATACAGCTGAAATAGTCATGCAAATGCATCTATGCCACCTTAAATATGCATAAAGCCACAGATGCCATATCCGGTTCTATTATTGCAGTGGAAATTTATCAACCAAGTCAACCAAACAGCAGCACATGTTTGCATTGTGTTTTCTGCACATTCACACGCTCTCAAGTTCTGTCATGAAACGCATGAGTTGGCTCTAATGTAGCTTTAATTTGATTACCTGTAGGAGCGTCTGTTAAATTCTTTGTTTTCTCGGATGGGTCTTTTGGTGATGTAGTGCCATCTAAAGTTCCTCTAACATATGGTGTCTGGGTGGCACTAAAGGACTTTTTAAGTGTCCGATGGGTGCTGGTTTCTGCAGCAGTTTTGGATTTAAATGTATTCCTGTATTTGGATTCTGACCTCCAGGTTTGAGAAGGAAAAGGCTGGAGCGTTGCAAGTGAAGTTTTAAACGATCTGTCTTGCTTGAAATTTGTCCAATCAGATTGCTCGGTTTGAGTTCCCTCTTCATCGTTCTGGATATCCGAGGGAAGCTCGGTTTTACTGGAAACTACAGTTTTGATCCACTGCGTTTTTGAGGCTGTTGTGATATAAAGGTTTGGTTCAGTCAAAAGGTCTCTGCTGGGATGTACATCAGGAGATAAACTTGGGTCCGTTTTTGCTGTCCATGATGAGCTTTTGCCTGGCTCTGGGTCTGTGCTGGGCAAAAAGTGGGCTTGTTCATTTCTATTTAAAGACAGACTGGCACACTGGGAGAGAGTGAAGAGCACCAGTAGAGCTTGACGGTGAGGGGTCATGCTGACACTCCTCTGAAGATCTTACACCTCACTGTCACACAACGCTGATCCCATTTCAAGCTTACATTCTGTGCTGGATCTGAAAATGAAACAGAAAACTAAAGCTTATTTATATACATACAGCTGAAGTCAGAATTATTAGCTGCCTTTTCGTTGTTAAATATTTCCCAAATGATGTTGAACAGAGCAAGGAAATTTTCACAGTGTGTCTGATAATATTTTTTCTTCTTGAGAAAGTCTTATTTGTTTTATTTTGGCTAGAATAAAAGCAGTTATTATTTTTTAAAAAAAGCATTTTAGAGACAAAATGATTAGCCCCTTTAAGCAATTTTTTTCGATAGTCTACAGAACAAACCATCGTTATACAATAACTTGTCTAATTATCCTAACCTGCCTAGTTAACCTAATTAACCTAGTTAAGCCTTTAAATGTCACTTTAAGCTGTATAGAAGTGTCTTGAAAAATATCTAGTCAAATATTATTTATTTTATATTATAAAATATTATTTTTACAAATATGATAAATATTTTATAATATTTTTATAAATATTATAAATATTTTAAAATATTATACTATTTTAAAACATCTAGTAAAATATTTTAGTAAGATATTACTGTCATCATGGCAAAGATAAAATAAATCAGTTATTAAAAACTATTAATAGTTATTAAACTATTAAATACATATAAAAAGTTAGTGAACATTGACATAATTCATTGTGTCAAACATTTTTCTATACTCTATATACACCAACGCAATAGAAATGAAACAAACAAGATGTGGTTTAATTGCAGACTGTCAGCTTTAAATGTAAGGGTATTTACATCTAATCAGATGAATGCAGTAGTAATCACAACAGTTTGCAGATGTGCCTCCCACTTGTTAAGGGACCAAAAGTAATTGGACAGAATAATAATGATAAATCAAACTTTCACTTTTTAATACTTGATTGCAAATCCTTTGTAGTTAATTACAGCCTGAAGTCTGGAACATATAGATATCACCAGACACTGGGTTCAATTTCTGGTGGTGCTCTGCCAGGCCTCTACAGCAACGGTCTTCAGTTTCTGCTTGTTCTTTCGGCATTTTCTCTTCAGTTTTGTCTTCAGCAAGTGAAATGTATGCTCAATCAGATTTAGGTCAGGTGATTGACTTGGCCATTCTATTACATTCCACTTCTTTCCCTTCAAAAACTCTTTGGTTACTTTTGCAGTATGCTTTGGATCATCCTCCATTATGCATTTGGCCTAATATGAGCAGAAATGATTAAAGACAATGCATCATCATCTGTTTGCCTGTATAAAACTGGCGTTGAAGGACTGCCCTTTGAGCAACCAGAATGGAGCCTCTTGTGTTTTTTTTTCTGTGTAGTCCCCTTGCTGCAAGAACATTAAATCTTTTATATTGAATCTTCCTGAGTCTTAGAATAATTTTTGATCCAGACAAATTGGCGAGCCAGCCAGGAGTCCAATATCTCTTCAGTGTTACCTGGATTGGACAAGGCGCCAAAATTGAGAAATCCTCAACCATCTTATCTTCCTACATCTTGGAATAATTTTGATCCTGACACTAGTACAAGTTGATCTTGGTCTCATCTGTCCATAGGATGTTAATCCAGCACTGTGATGGCTTTTTTAGAACTCTAATCTAGCCTTCCTGTTTTTGAGGCTTTCCGATGGTTTACATCTTGTGGTGAACCCTCTGTATTCACTCTGGTGTAGTCTTCTCTTGATTGTTGAATTTGACACATATACACCTACCTCCTGGAGAGTGTTCTTGATCTTTCCAACTGTTGTAAAGGGTTTTTTCTTCACCAGGGAAATAAATCTGTGGTCTTCTGGGTCTTTCGGTGTTACAGAGCTCACTGATGCTTTCTTTCTTTTTAAGAATGTTCCAATTAGTTGTTTTGGCAATGCCCAATGTTTTTTCTATCTCTCCTATGTTTTTTTTTCAGCCTAATGATGGCTTGCTTCACTGATAGTGACATCTCGTATCTCATCTTGAAAGTTGACAGTAACACATTCCAAATACTAGTAGCACACTTGAAATGAACTCTGGACCTTTTCACTGCTCATTCTTATTGGGATAGTGAGGGAATAACACACACCTGGCCATGGAACAGCTTAGAAGCAAATTTTCGAATTACTTTTGGACCCTTAACAAGTTGCAGCGTTCATCTGATTTAGATGTAAATACCCTCAAATTAAAGCTGACAGTTTGCAGTTACAGCACATCTTTTTGATTTCTATTTCCAAACAAATCCATTATGTTGGTGTATAGATCCAAAATGTTAGAGTTGTGTCGATGTCTAAATATTTATGGATTTAACTGTATATATAAGCTGAATTTCATAAAGTTGAAATTATTAGCCGTATTAGCTTTCAATTTAACTCAAATATATTTTTAAACACATTTCTAAACATAATAGTTATATTAACTCATTTTTAATAACTGATTTCTTTTATCTTTGCCATGATGACACTATATAATATTTTACTAGATATTTTTTAAGATGTGGGGCATCACGGTGGCGCAGTGGGTAGCACAATCTCCTGCCAGCAAGAAGATCGCTGGTTAGAGCCTCGGCTGGGTCAGTTGGCATTTCTGTGTGGAGTTTGCATGTTCTCCCCGTGTTTGTGTGGGTTTCCTCCGGGTGATCTGGTTACCCCCACAGTCCAAAGGCATACAATATAGGTGAAATGGGTAAGCTAAATTGTGAATAATGTATGTGTGTGAATGAGTGTGTATAGATGTTTCCCAGTGATAGGTTGCAGCTGGAAGGGCATCTAGTGCGTAAAACATATGCTGGATAAGTTGGCTGTTCATTCAGTTGTGGCCACCCCAATTAATAAAATGATTAAGTCAAAAAGAAAATGAAAGAGTGAATAAAATAATGCTAAATTAAGTAGCCTTTATCTGTAATTTTATCTGAAAACCAATATTCTGATACATCCCGAATCTCTTCACGTGATATATATATATATATATATATATATATATATATATATATATATATATATATATATATATATATATATATATATATATATATATATATATTACAAACTAAATTATAATTTGGCATAATCAAAACTGGACCTACATACACACCATCAGTTTTAGTCGATCCCCTCGAGTCATGTGACCCAATTCAGAAAAACGCACCTCAGAGAACAGGACACACACACACACGCGCGCGCGTTAAAGCAACCATTAACCATCCATCAGAGAAGTAGATCTTATTCAGCCTATATTTATGTCAAATATCCAAACCACTACTGCAGAGTAAGACCTAGGCTACTTCACATTAACCCTTTCCTTTATATTTCTCAACTCTCTTTCCTGGTAACGGGATGCAGCATATTTATCATTTATATTTCAGCAAGAGAGCAGGAAAGACGGGGATGCTGATCTACATTATCAACCAGTGCAGCAGTATTTAGCGCATCTTCTCTTCATCATACAGTGACACATATCCACACACCAGCAAGGGAGCTCACTACACACACACACACACACACACACACACACACACACACACACACACACACAAAGTTTGACTGCGCCAGAAGAGATGTGCTCACCTCGGGACGCGTGGATGAAGAGGCTAAAATAGGAGTAATCCTTCAGCCTGCCGTCCTGCTGCGGAAAAGATTTGACTCTGACTGTGCCTGTGTGTGTTTTACTGCTCTCTCTCTCTCTCTCTCTCTCTCTCTCTCTCTCTCTCTCTCTCTCTCTCTCTCTCTCTCTATGACACACACACACACACACCTCTGTTTTTCGCATGGATGAACACACACGCATGCTGCCTGACACACCCCCTTTTAGTATCCCGACTCCGTCAAGTCTCTCTTCATTCGGTTAAGCTGCATCTTTAGTTCACATAGAGTTGGATTAGTCATGTTAGATTTTTTACTTCTCTCTCTTACGTCACTGAGCCCTGTAATGCAATGATCTTGATTTGTCATGGCCGTTTCCGATTGCCGATTTTTTTGTACAAGCAAATTGACCGATTCTGATACCGATTTCCGATTTTTTTTTTTATTGTCATTTTAAATGTGCATAATAAAGTGCCTTGATTATTTATCATCTACATAATAGGTATGTGTTTTAGGTATGGTCAGATATGACCCAGAAATGGTTTTATATGATCCCATTACCCATGGTTTTGACCATAATTTTTGGTTTTGAATAGCAACCCTATTTTTAGGCGAAAAATCGAATATATGGATTATAAATGTACTCATTTATTCAGCTCCACTTTAAATGACGAGACTCATAGGACAGTAATCAAACAGGAAGCAAAGTAGGAGAGAGAGAGAGAAGGTAGGGTCGAGAAATGTTCTCAAACCCGATTTCGAAGTGATACCTCACCATGGGCTCTATTTTAACAATCTAGGCTCAAAGTCTAAAGCATTAAAGGCATGTTCGAATCCACTTTTGCTATTTTAAGGATTGAAAAATCTCTCATCCCCCATTCCCTTTAAGAGTCAGTTGCATCACACCATGGTGCATTTGCTATTTACATGGCGGACTTTGTAGGTGGAAAAACTGAACGCTTTGCTAGCGAGAATACAGTTAAACAGACCATCTGCAACATGAGGATAAAGAACGAGCCTCCTTCATTCAGCCTCTTTATTTTGCTTTTACTCTTTACGCTTGTGGAAAAGGAAATGGTGGAAACTCATTCCACTGAAGACATCCATTAGTCTACATATTTAATTTTGTTTGTTAAGGGCTAAGAATTGTTTCAAAACTATTTCTAAATTCAGTTCTAAGTTACAGCAAACTAATAAATAAACAATAATAACTAAGTGTGGTCAAAAATACTGAGTTATTTCTAAACACACATCCTATTCTTATGCCCTATATGGTGATGCATACTTCTCCAAAACTTAAAAGGTGGACAAATCTAATTTTTTTTTTATTAAAACAAATATAAATATGCATATAATAAATAATACTGCTTATAATAGTTACATTACACAAATGCAAATTGTCATGAATTGACTGAAAAAGCCCCCCGAGATGAAAATGGCATGGAGGCAGTGGTTTTAATGTTTATGTAGAAAATAATAATTTTGTAACATTCTATTCTTAATTTTTTTTATATGTAAAGATATTTGTGTATTGCTGTACATTCTGTGTGTATTAAGCAAGCTTTTAAGCGTTTAATCCTACATAACTTACTCGCTCTGCGCTTGGCTTTAGACCTGTTTTTAGTTGGTCAATGGCACGGTCTATTTCAGATCTTCAAAATTGCAACACGCCAACAATGCGCCTTAACACAGCTCCTTTTTAGACAGCACACCCCTTGAGTTCACAAAGTGGCGCAAATGGATTTGCTGTTTAAACAACAAGGTGCAAACAGGAAAATTAGTTGCGCCGGTCTGAAAATTGCAACAAACTGCACCAAACACGTCTTGGCCTTAGTTTGATAGAGACTAGTCAGACTAAGATGGATACAAACGGGACAGACAGTGATGTATTTATTGTTGTATTTTGAAGTTTGAACATTTGAAAACTAAGGCAGGAATTAATAGTAACAACTTCTGCATAAACAAATGAGATTTATAAAGTTTATTTGCGTCCTTTTTACAGAAAAATCACAGTAAGAGCTAAATAATGCATAAACCTGCATTGATACTGTCACAACACCAGACAGAGAGGATCCAATAGCGAGTAATATTTATGTTGTGAACAGAAAATATATATATCAGAGGATACAAAATGGCTGGAAAACAGCAAAGTTCAAAAACAAAGCGTGCCACCTGGCCAAACTAAGTTGTCATCCGACGAACAGACAGTGGAGATTCCTGAGAGACAAACAGAAACAAAAACAAACAACGGACTGATAACCAGCAGTTACCACCGACTGAATATATAGCCAGTGAAACAGAGATCAGCTGGAGGATGCTGATTAAGTCAGCTGATTTGAGAGCACACTGTCAGCACAAAAGGTAAACAAACACACACCCTCGCACACGACAACACACATGCCATGACACATAACATATAGAAAGAACACACAGACAAATACTCAGCAGTTTTCATGTGTTTATTGCATTATAAACATGTATGGCAACTTTTACAATATACACATTAAACTAACAAAAAAGTGCCCTTTTGTCGTTTCAAAGCACGCTGAATAAATTTACATTCCGTATATCCTGCATTTTGCATTTGAAGAAGCACTGGTGTTTAAAGCAAACAGTATGTTATTTCCATGTTTTGAGCTTCTATTATCAGACTATGCCTATGCATCTGAAATCATTGACATCCATAGTAGGAAAAACAAATACTGTGGAAGTCAATGGTTCCAGGTTTTCAACATTCTTCAAAATATCTTCTTTTGTGTTCAACAGCAGAAAGAAAGTCATACAAGCCAAAGGTGAGTATAATGACAATTTTTTTTACTTTGTGTGAACTATCCCTTTTAATACTCATTTTCCACACTTTGCACTATATAATTATTGCAGCACAATTTAATTGTAAGTCTGGAACAAAGATTTAATTCTCAAATTAAAACTAAATTAAACCAGTGACCACACGTTTGGGGAAAACACCTGCTGGTTCTGATTTCTGGCCAGTGGATCAGTGCATCTGTACTGCAGTGATGCTCCTGAATATAGTACTTTCACTGCTTCAAATGGCGAGCCTATCCTCCTGTTTCGGTTCAGCAAATCAATGTACAATATTGAACTAATTTTCTGAGAGAGTTAGAAATCAATGTGTAGCAATAAATCAGAGGGTTAAAAGACTGCACGAGTGGCTACTACTGCTCTATTTTTCATTATGGGTCATTGAGCTAAAGCATATCAGTAAAACTAGCAAGGCTAGATTGGTTAACTGGCTTCACCCGCAAAACAACATGTATAATAATTGATCACCGGTTACATGAGGTTACACTAAGGCAGCAGTAAACAGTGCAAACCAATCGGGAATAAATGAAAAGTAAAAAATAATATCATATTATTAAAGTAGACATTTTTCTTTAATTTACATTAATATACTTTCCACAACATTTACAAAAGATCTATTTTTAAAATAAATGCAATTCTCTTAAATAAATGTATTACAACAGTCTAGCTTTACAAAAATTAAGAATGAAACTATTTGCAAATTTGCAATTTTATCTTTTGCACAAAAAACAGCACTTTATGAAGATTTTAAAATGATCACATGGGGCAGTGAGTTTTAGAATTGATCAATTAATTAAATATTTTTTTTAATAACATGATATTACGTGATTCTTAATGCACTGGGTTGGTTTGCTGCAGAGTGTGATGGGATGAGAATCAGCACCTCCAAGTCCAAGGTCATGGTGCTCCACCGGAAAAAGGTGGTTTGCCATCTCCAAGTTGGAGAAAAGTCCAGGTGGAGGAGTTCAAGTATCTTGGGGTTTTGTTCATGAGTGAGGGAGGGATGGAGCGTATGATTGACAGGCAGATTGGTGCAGGGGCAGCAGTAATGCAGTCAATGTCTCAGTCCGTCGTGGTAAAGAAGGAGCTAAACCGAAAGGAAAAGCTTTCGATTTACTGGTCAATCTACGTTCCTACTCTCACCTATAGTCATGAGCTTTGGGTCATGACCGAAAGGACAAGATCTTGGATACAAACGGCCGAAATAAGTTCCTTTCGCAGAATAGCAGGGATGCATCCTTATAGATAGGGTGAGGAGCTCGGAGTAGAGCCGCAGCTCCTCCATATTGAGAGAAGTCAGCTGAGGTGGCTCGGGCATCTGTTTCGGATGCCTCCTGAACGCCTACCTAGGGAGGTGTTCCAGACATGTCCCACCAGTAGGAGGCCTCGGGGATGACCCAGGACATGCTGAGCCAGAGACTATGTCTCTCAACTGGCATGGGAATGCCTCGAGATCCCCCCGGAGGAGCTAAAGGAAGTGTCAGGGAAGTCCTGGGTTCTCTCCTGAGACTGCTGCCCCTGTGTCCTTGCCCCGGAAAAGCAGACAGAAATGAAATTAAAATGAAAACAGTTAAATATTTTAACAATATTTGATTAACACACAACCTTTTGCATGGATAATAACCCTTATAAACATAAATGCATCTTACCAACCTGAATCATACTAAAAAATGTACACTTTATCTCAGATAGCACTTTTATTGGCTGATCTTGGATGTAAATGTATATATGGGTAAATGGATGAGTGGGCAAAGCATGGGCAAACTCTCCAACTCCATATTCAGAGCATGTAAACACTCAATCCATATTTAAAGCCGTTCCCCTTCGGTGAATCCAGGATGGATGGTCTACTGGGACGCACCAGTGTGTGTGGTCAGACAGAATGAACAGGATGTAGATCAATCCTTATTAAAACAGACCCCGAGAGAACGCAAACTGGGCCAGGCACATAAAAAGCTAGTTGTGAGAGGACTAGTTAGGGACCTTAAATAGATGTATTAGCAAGCTGAGTATCACATAATGATTTTACAATACCTAAAACATTTGATGTCATAGTTCATTATGGAAAAGGTCACTTGTTCGTTTTTCAATTGTTTTCACAGATGCACAAGTACTGTCAAAGCATTGCGCATTGCATTTAGTGTGTATACAGGAAGGCACCAATTGAGCTGGAACTAAAGGGGGGTTTGCTTTAGAACAATGACCCAGATGAGCTGATCAAACATATGACATCAGCGTGGTCCACAGTCAGATCCCCCCGGGCGTAG